TCACCATCTAAGCTGCCAAATGCTTCTGAATCTCCTTTGGAGCCATTCCGAACTTCGCCAGCAGCCGTTCTGCGTCCCTCTCCAAGGCCCCCCTTGGGAGCCTCTCCTGCTTTGATCTTGCCGTTCTCCTGACGAATGCACACCTGCAACGCCGCGTGGACGGTCATCAGCGGCATACCATTGATCGTGACCACTTGACTCTGAATGCATGGGCTCATCATGAATTGTAGTTTGTAAGTGTCCGCCTCCTTCTTGCACGCCTTCTTGTCGAACCAGCATGCCGGTATGCGGCAGTAGCGTACGTGCTCGGCCAGCAGAGAAAGGGTCACGGATTTGTCGTCCTTGATTGTCTGTGTCCAGTAGTGCTTGAGAACAGCCAGCGCCTGACTCACCACTGGCTCCTTGTTGTCCTCCTGAGTAGCCAGAAAGTGTGCCACCAGCGCCATGAAGATGTGGGGCCAAGGGGCCCGTTGTCGTGCTGCTTCCCCTGTTCTTTGCAGTCCGTCGCGTAGTCCTGACCAGCCGTCTGCATCACTTTGACGAGGGCGGCGGTGGCTGGCAGGAGGAAACAGGTGAACGTAGCGCCTGTGATTTCCGCGAGATCGCGGGCATTGGTGAGAGAAAGCCTGCACAAAATTGTCAACAACGCTGCCATGATGCCTCCCTCCTTGCCTTTGAGCTCCTGACGAGCCTGGCCGACCACCTGTTGTTCCAGCCGTTGCCGTCGATCGTCGCCGCCTGTATCCTGGCTGGCCCTGCGCTTCACGCTGAGCTGCCAAGCTGGAATGCTTGCCATGTTGGCCACCGTCGAACAGTAGCGGCAACTGGGTAAAGTGCGAGCGTATATGTTGTGAAAGTTCGGAGGAATCAGGCACCTGAGCCTCACACAACGGGCAGTCCTAGGATAAAGGCGTAGGTGTTCGGAATGTCGTACTAAGATTCACCATACATGCTCCACTCTGGAATGAATCCACATGTTTGTATGCTGAGTTTCTAGATTCGAATACACTGTTGCACACGAAGCACTGGTTGTTAATCACAGCTGTTCCAATAATAGATTTGAGGCCATGATGGTTGTGTAAGTGGACCAGGACCTGACGTTTACTCTGGAACCTTCTGGAGCACCCTTGAGCAGGACAGCCGTACTCCCCAATCTCTTGTCTCACTTCGGGGTCCTCTGGGGTCTCAGATAGTGGGGCCCAGTTAGGAGGAGGAATGCGAACCGACAAGTATGCCGCCCTGATCTTTTTTGTGTCGATGAGCGTGAACCAATCGATCAGCTCGGAGTTAGAAAAAAGACGGAGAGGCTGCCCATTAAACTGCTGCACCATAGTGCAATCATCGTCCCCGAGCTCTGCCGGCGATGATATGTCTTCCACAAATCTGCGAGCCCAAGGGCATGCAGCCTGAGTGAGTCGAGCGTCGTCGCCCACAATCGGCAACTCGTTTGAAAGCCCGACCCGCATACTGCCTAGTAGTGCTCCCCATTCTGCTATGTGTCTTCTTGGATTCCCTACCCACCTCTGATACCACCTTATTCTCCTCGCTCTGAGCTCATGTCCTACTGGAGCCATGTGCCAAAAACGGTAAACCTGCATGTTGGAAAGTGAGACCTCCATGTTGCTCCTCCCCTCATCGCCCTTCGTGCATAGTGCAGTACTCGTGCTTGTAGTTTATCAAGGTGCGCTTGTGTCAAGATAAAAGCTTCTACTCCAGAAACTGCTGGCCCTAGAACCCGCGAAAGAAATGCAGCTCGCTTCTCAACTGGTGGAATACCATACTGATACCAATATCGGCCCATGCTATGAAATCCTGCATCAATTGCTGCGAGCCTGGCCGACAGCTCGCTGTTAAACGTATAGTCCGCACGCACGAGGCCCCCCAGCATCTTGGCAAGGTCGCTGGGCACACCCGCCGTCGGGAGCACTTTAGCCTCAAATCTCGTGCGGCCAGCCTGCGAGCCATCACCGAACTGGGCCAGCACCGTCTCATTCTTAGTGGGGTTCAGGTGGTAGCTGTGAGTGAGGAGCTGATCGGAGAGGAGGGTGTTGTAGGAGATCGATTTGGAGCTGAGCTCGGTATGAGACGCGGTGCCACTCAATCCAGTGATCAGCGTCTTGGTAGCATCATCTACATACGTGTGAAACGACAGGTCTAACTCGATAGGTTCCTCATCCCGACCATCCTGCGGCAAATCAACAATACACCAATCTGAAGTCTCATCCTCCCCCTCGGTAGACGCGTCCTGGGTCTTCTCGAAAACGATATCTATGTCCCTGGTGAAGATCTTGACTGCCCACGGGTCCCCTTGGAGAGCTCCCACATGAGGCTTAGCGAAGAGGAATCCGTCGGGGCCTTGAAAGGCAACAGCTGACCTCATAAAGCTTTGTTCACCAAAGCGAATCTCCTGGGGCTTCATAATGACCTCGTTGGTGCTGGAGAGGTGTGTCCAGTCGGTGCTGCCGAAGGCATTGGTGATGTCTTTGTGATCCCGAATATGCTGCAAGCCTAGGCGTCTAAGACGCCAACTCAAACTCTGTTGAATCATCATGGCAGTCTCTCTCCGTCGTCCAGCCACGCAGCCATGAGCAAAGAGTGGCTCCCGATCACGCTGATCGGGCCGGAGGCCTGTGGCAATGAAGGCCTTGCCGAACGGGCACAACACGTGCTCAAGCCTCTTAAAATTGATCGCGATGCCCTGGGGTAAATGCCAAACTACTGGTGTTTGTCCTGAGCGACATACTCGATGTAGGAATACATTTAAGTAGTACCTGGTCGATTTTTGGTCGACTGTAGGGGCCTCGTATCCTAGCCCTCGGAACCTTTTGGAGATCCTTCTGTAGGGGTGCAGGAGCATCCAGAAGAGCTCTAGAGGGAGCGACCACGGGGGAGCAGCTCTTCGGTTACTGGCCTTCCGAAACTATCTTGATATTAGCTTGAGCTTCTCCGTGGCCCACTGGAGGCCATCCTCCGTGAAGGGGGGCATGAACTGTTCGGTCTCCAGCCCTGACTCTGGATGGTGCAAAAAATCCTCGACCTCATGAAACCAGTCGATGATGGTGGCCTCCAATCCCCCCTGGCAGGAGGGCAACTGAAGCCGAGCCCTGAGGTCATCTGAACAGGGAGCCGCAGCAGCAGCATGTTTATAATTGCGCTTCTTGGGGCCCGTGCCCCTGGCTGACAGCAGGCGAGACAATCGTGCCACCTCAGCCTTGCGGTCCTGCTGGTGGGCCGCCACCAGCTCGTCTGTAATGTCTTGGCGCCACAGTGTGGGGTACCGTCGACGCTGTCGTCGTAGGTACCTGCTGAGTGCTCGCAGCTCTTTTGTAATACTGGCAATCTCATTGATATGGATAGCAGCGCCTAGTGCTTCGCGAAGTTGGCGCCGCTGCTGTCTGAGACTGGTGACGTGATCTGCTCGCTGCCTGTGCTCCGACGATGGCGTTGGTGGAGTCGTGAAAAAAGGAGCTGCTGCTTCGCCAATGACCTGGAGCAAATATGATCAATCTCTGTTGGGTGTCTGCTCTTCTCTTTGAAACTGCTTCCATTCATCCATTTCGTCGGAAATCCGTTGTTCAACGTTTTGAAGCAATTCCACGCTGTGAGTACCTCGTCGTAGTCCGTCCATAAGTGAATCTCTGTTCCAGCGGTGTGTTGTCTGCACAAAGCCCAATCTTGGATGATCAGAGACTGACGTCGGTAGCCCAAGTGTGTCCTCGAACGTGTATGATATTCGAGCATGGACTGGGATGTGATCGCGAGGAGTATGAGCCGCAATGGCCTGTAGTGATCTGCCCATGCGCCGTAGCGGCCCAACAGAGAGAGTCTGGAATATCGAGAACCTCGGTACAATGATATAGTCCAGCTGGCTGCCCTGACCTTTATTGTTGAAAGATGTAGCGCCATATCCGCGCTACTTATTGAGCACTGCCATATCCAGCATGTCAAGGAACGGGAGGAGGACCTCTGCCGAATATTTTTGTCTCGCTTTGTCGTGGTAGGGTCCGACCGCTGTGCTCTCTACAGATCGCCAATGTTCTGAACCTTCTAATCTCGTGAGCCCAAAGCCTGAGTTGAGGTCGGCACAAATGATTGGGACAACTCGATGCGCACTCCAAACAGGCAATGATCGCAACCATTTCATTAGCGAATCACATGTCTGATACTATGCCTTGAAATGGCCCGCCTTCGCGGGAACAGGTGGGAAGTAAATTGAAACCACAGCCACACCATAATATTTATATCTTGCACGCAGAGCCACACCTCGGCCAGGAATTGGGCACACAAATGTTTGTACCACAGTGCTGCGCTTGATATGCGGCCCGAGGAGTATAGAACAACCGCAAGACTTGTTGCTATGCGGAGACCTGAACCACCCTGCGTCCAAGCACCATCTAGTGCCCACTCTGCGCCATGTAGCCACGCCAGCAGGTCCATAGCGCTGCACACCTGTGGACTTGAGACATGTAAAATCAGTGTTATGCGAAAGGTTGGCGATGTCCTGCAGTCTGTCGGAGGTACTGGCGAACATGGGACTGAATTGCAGGATACTCAACGTGTGCTTGACCCTCCTCAGCGCCGTAGTCATTGTGCGGATGGCCGAGGCTGCACTTGTCCCTGTGGGCCCTCAACTCATGCAAGTGAAAGACCAGGAGAGACGCGCTGCCTCGACTGAACCAGCGCCGAAGAGGTAGCAGTGTGGGCTAAATTAGTGTACGGTGGGGTGGGTGTGGTCAGCCCTGCAGAGCCGACGCTTGGAGGAGGAGGAGGAGGAGGAGGAGGAGGAGGAGGAGGAAGAGGAGGAGGAGGAGGAGGAGGAGGAGGAGGCGGGGGAGGAGGAAAGGGGAGGAGGAGGAGGAGGAGGAGGAGGAGGAGGAGGAGTAGGAGGAGGAGGAGGAGGGAGGAGGAGGAGGAGGAGGAGGAGGGGGAGGAGGAGGAGGAGGAGGGGGAGGGGAACGCCCCCCGCCGTGGGCGGGCCGCGAGCGCGGCGGGCCTCCCAGGTTCGGCCACCTGCTGCCCCCCAGCATCGTGCCCAAGGCGAAGGTGGACGCGCCGCGCTCAGGGCGCCCGCGGGCGGCGAGGTCGGCACCCTGCGGGCGGGCAGCCCGGGCACGGCGAGGAGGCGAAGCTCGAGGAGGGGGGAGGGAGGAGGGGGAGGGCAGGGAGGAGGAGGGCGAGGAGGGGGCGAGGAGGGGGGAGCGAGGCGGGGAGCGCGAGGAGGAGGGCGACCAGGGAGGGCGAGGAGGAGAGGGCGAAGAGGGGAGAGGCGAGGAGGGGGGCAGCGGCCAGACGGGCCAAGTCGGTGGGGCCCCTGGCGCCAGCGGCCCGAGACACAGCAACAAACATACGCGCGGCTCGATCACAAGTGGGACGCCGGGGCTCCGCACTTGGCGGCGCGCACAAAGGGGGGTAGCTGCGAGAGGACTTTAGTTTTGTTCACTACCCCCCCCCGTTCTCTTGGCGGTGAAGAGGACTGGTCTTACAGCCTCCTCCTCCTTCTCCTCCTCCTCTTGTAGCAGAGGAGAAGGAGGAGGTTTTAGGACGATTAGTTGTCGTTGTCGTCGTTGCGCGGCGGGTGCCGCGGAACAAAACAAATAGTTACCCCCTATTGGTGGGACCCCAGTCTTTCGATAAGGCCGCCGAAACAAACAAGTGGCACGCGTGCCCTGGCTCTTGCACACAAAGGAGCTCGGGGGGAAGGGTGCCCCGGGGGGGGTCGCCAGCGGGCCAGAGGCGGAGAGCCCAGAGGGACGAACCACCATAAACCACTGCCAAAATAAAGGATTCCGCGGCCCAGGGTGGCTGCCCTGGGCCTGGACGGAGGCAGGCTCCCAAGGGGGGGTGGCCCAGGGGAGCTGGGGCTCAGGCTCAGGGGGGGGGGGGTCGAACGAACCACCACGAACCACGAACCACGACGAAAATAAAGGGTTCCGCGGCCCAGGGGGGCTGCCCTGGGAAGCCTGGACGGAGGAAGGCTCCTAAGGGTGGGTGGCTCAGGGGAGCTGGGGCTCAGGCTCAGGGAGCGGCCGAGGGGGACGAACCACCACGAACCACGAACCACGACGAAAATGAGGATGTCCGCGGCCCAGGGGGGCTGCCCTGGGAAGCCTGGACGGAGGGGGGGCCTCCGAAGGGTGGGTGGCCCAGGGGAGCTGGGGCTCAGGCTCAGGGGAGGGGCCGAGGGGGACGAACCACGACGAACCACGAACCACGACGAAAATGAGGATGTCCGCGGCCCAGGGGGGCTGTACTGGGAAGCCTGGACGGAGCAAGCCTCCGAAGGGTGGGTGGTCCAGGGGAGCTGGGGCTCAGGCTCAGGGGAGGGGACGAGGGGGACGAACCACCACGAACCACGAACCACGACGAAAATAATGATGTCCGAGCTCTGGAGCACAGCTGTGCATGAGAATCCAGATGTCCGAACTCTAGAGCGCAGCTGTGCAAGAGAATAAAGCGCTCGTGGCGGAGGGGGCAGTGGGAGGGGCTCCTGCTGGGGCGCTGGGGACGCGGGGGGGGGGCTCGGGGCAGAGAGCCACGGCGCGGGGTTCACAGCCTGCAGCTGGGGACGCGGGGGGGGGGGGGTGCAACGCGGAGTAAAGCGTTCAGGGCGGAGGGGGCAGTGGGCGGGGCTCCCGCTGGGGCGCTGGGGACGCGGGGGGGCCCGGGGCAGAGAGCCAGGGCGCGAGGGTCTCATTCTGGCGCTGGAGACGCGGGGGGGGTGCGACGCGGAATAACGCGGTCGGAGTACACCCTGTGCGAGATAATAATTTACAAAGGATTATGGTTTCGGGGACGCGAATGTGGTATACTTTGCAAGGGTTTATGGCCTCGCGGACGCGAATATGGGTAACCTACCAGGGATTATGGCCTCGGGGACGCGAATCTCATGTATGTGTTCGTGTCCCACGCGCCCAAGAATTCAGGCAACGCGATCTGGGCGTGGTAGAAAAAGCTGGTTTGGAGCTCCCTCCACTCGCGCGTTCAGCAACAATCAATAGTATGGAAGCAGAATGCAGGACTGTAACAGTGGAAACTGGAAACTGCAACTGGAACAGGGAGCTGCAATCCTCACCCTCGCAGCCTGGTGGCCCCGCAAGGGGGCCGGCGGATTACTTACAGTTTTGTTTGGGGGGGGTTCTTAAGACCTTGTAGGGTTGGGGGAGGGGGGAAGGCTTCTTAGAAGGAGTCAGCTTCTTAGAAGGCGCTGACTAAAAGCCTTTTAAGAAGCAGGGGTGCTTTTAAGAAGCATTACCCCCTCCCCCTACCCCCGTCTGCGCGTGGCCGACGCTAGGACTCCCAGATGGGGTCCGAGTAGATGGGGTCGCACCATCGCCCCGCATCGACGATGCATCGGCGATACGGGTCGATGCGGAGCCCGATCTTCTCCACGTCGACGTCGCCGAGGCATCGCCGATGCAACGGCGATGCACCGGCGATCAGGAGGCCTCTGTTGACTCCGCCGCACCTCCCCCCTCGTCCCCCCCAGATTCAGAGTTCGTCCCCAGCGCTCGGCAGAGCAGGCGTTTGAGAGGGCACGCGCTGCGGTACCCCTAGGGCTTACGCGAGGCCAGGGCCACCTCTGGATCTGGGGGGGAGGTGGGGAGAGGGGTGCACACGGGGTCGAATACGAAGGGGCTCGACTCCAGGGGTCGACGTAAACAGTGTTCTTGCGATTTCATGGGCCGTGTCCGTTTCGACTTCGTTTTGCAGCAAAGGCGGAGTGAAGACAAAACGAGGGAAAGCGAGAACAACACGAAAACGCACTGGCAGGGCGGTGCGATCTCGGTTCCCCTCTTGTGCCCGCGCCACCTTGGAGTTATCCATGCTCTCGCTTGCCATGATAATGTATCGTACATCGATGGAGCCCATGGAGGGCCACATCCCGAAGACACAGAACAGCCTCCCGGATTATGATGTTCCAACTTATTTTAGCGTTGATCACCAGAAAGAATTCCGAGCACCAAGGGAATACCGAAGCTGGAGGGCGTTCACTTGTCGGGCCCTGGCAGTCGGCATTCGTTCGACATTGTTTTGATACCTTTTGGGGTGCTCGAACGTATGTCTGGGATGTGGTCCTGAAGTACGATGGGGGCAACATAACTCCAGGACCTCTCTCTCTCTCTCTCTCTTTCTTTCTCCCAGTGATCCCGCGATCCCGCCCCTCCTTCCTGCCGGGTGCCCCCCCCCCCCGACGCCCGAGGTGTTGAAGCAGCACTTCGGGAAGGCGCGACGGGGCCGACCACGCGCGGCGTACCTGGAGGGGGACGCGAAGAAAACATGGTTTGGTCCGCGGCCCTCCTCCCCCTCCTCCTCCTCCTCCTCCTCCTCCTCCTCCCTCCTCCTCCTCCTCCTGCCTCCTCCTCATCTCATGGCCCCTCCTCCTTCTCCTTTTCCTCCTCCACATCCTCCTCCTTCCTCCTCCTCCTCATTCCTCCTTCCTACCTCCTCTCCTCTACCCTCCCCCTCCCCCTCCTCCTCCTCCTCCTCCTCCTCCTCCTCTCCTCCTCGTCCTCCTCCTCGTCCTCGTTCCTCCTCCTCCCCTCCTCCTCCCTCCTCCTCCTCCTCCCCTCCCCTATCCTCCTCCTTCCCCTCCTCCTGTTCCCCTCTTCTTGTCCCCTCCTCGAGGTCCTCCTCCTCCTCCTCCTCCTCCGCCTCCTCCTCCCTCCTCCTCCTCCTCCTCCCCTCTCCTCCTCCTTCCCCTCCTCCTGCCCCCTGCTCCTCGGTGTCCTCCTCTTTCTCGTGGCCCCCGTTCCTGCCTCCCCGGGGGAGGGGAGATGCGGGCGTCGTGTTGTGGTCTGTGAGCTTCCCGATCGCGGGCCCCGTCGCCGGGCCTCTCCGGCCCCCTTCGGCCTGCGCGCTGGAAGGGGGGCCCTTGGCGTGGCCGGGGCGCACCCGGCGGGTGAGGCAGCGCGTCGCCTCTGGGGGAGGAGGAGGAGGAGGAGGAGGAGGAGGAGGAGGAGGAGGAGGAGGAGGAGGAGGAGGAGGAGGTCAGCGTAGACCTGGTGCTGCCATGCTCGGTGGAGAACAACAACTGCATACTATGTCTTGTAGGAGAAAGATCCCAATCCTGGGATACTGGCGCTGCATTTTGTTCACAGCTGGCGTTTTCGCTCGATCTCGGGCCCCTGGAACTTCACAGATCGATCTGGCTCGAAAAATGATACAGAAGGATGGGGTCTAGGATTTTGGACGTGGCGCTTTACCATGTTGCAATTGCTTTGCAACGTCGGATCTCAGGGAAGGAGGCTTGTCCAAGGGGCGGTGACCCGGAGGGTTGTCCTGAGGGGTCGTCGTCATTAGAAATCAGGTAGGTCGTCGTCATGGTAGGTGCGAGGTAGGTCGTCGTCATTAATAATCAGCATGAGTTGCCAGGGTTGACCTTGGGGGTTGTCTGGGTTGTTTGTTGATCGGAAGATCTTTCCACTGAACATCGTTGGCAGAAATTTCTGTTTGTCCGTGCAGGGTTCTTGGACCGGCGCTTGGTGCCCAGCGCCTCATGGGAGTCACACGCCGACCAAAGAAATGCGCGCGGAGTTCCAGGTGTTTATGATGGTGTGGTACGTTCCTCTGTAGGCAGTTGCATTCGGCGTGTCGGGATAATGCATAAATCGTATACGTGCACGATAGGAGGATCCACAGACCGTGTCTATGCTGAGACACAATCTCTGGGCCGCCGGGGTGGAGGGATGCCCACGCGACAGGATCGATCCCACTCAAGACCTGTACACTGCAACACGCGTGCTGTTTCTGAGGCCGCTCTCCTCCGGCGCACTCTCGTCGCCACGGCTGGGCGCGCATCGAAAGGTTGCCCAGGATGGCGTCCAGGGTGAATTTTGAGACCTGCATGCTTCGAACGGACACTTGCCGAGAGGCCAATGAGGGCGGAGGAGTTGGAGGAGGAGGAGGAGGAGGAGGAGGAGGAGGAGGAGGATGAGGAGGAGGAGGAGGAGGAGGGGGATGGGGGGGAGGGAGGAGGAAGGGAGGAGGAGGAGGAGGAGGAGGAGGAGGAGGGAGGAGGAGGAGGAGGGAGGAGGAGGAGGAGAGGGAGGAGGAGGGGAGGAGGAGGAGGAGGAGGAGGAGGAGGAGGAGGAGGAGGAGGAGGAGGAGGAGGAGAGGAGGAGAGGAGGAGGGGAGGAGAGGAGGAGGAGGAGAGGAGGAGGAAGGAGGAGGAGGAGAGAGGAAGAGGAGAGAGAGGCGGAGGAGGAGGAGGAGGAGGAGGAAGGAGAGGAGGAGGAGAGGAGGAGGAGGAGGAGGAGGGAGAGGACGGAGGAGGAGGGAGGAGGAGGAGGAGGAGGAGGAGGAGGAGAGGAGGAGGAGGGAGGAGAGGAGGAGGAGGAGGAGGAGAGGAGGAGGGAGGGAGGAGGGGAGGGAGGAGGAGGAGGAGGAGGAGGGAGGAGGAGGAGGAGGAGGAGGAGGAGGAGGAGGAGGGAGGAGGAGGGAGGAGGAGGGAGGATGGAAGGCGGGAGGAGGGGGAGGAGGAAGGGAGGAGGAGGGAGGAGGAGGGAGGAGGAGGGAGGAGAAGGAGGAATCTCGAGGCGACTGTCAACACAGGGAGGGCTTGGCGGCTCTGCCGCGCAGGGGCCCTCCAGAGTGTGCCCGCGGAGGCAGAGGGAGCAGCTCGCGAGGCTCGTTTTGAGTCGGGCCTGCCCCCCTACAGGGGGATGTTCGGCGAAAAATAATAAATACATCAAAATAATCAAACAATAATCAAAACATAGTCTGGGGACTATTCTTTAAGTATGTTTTGGCCTTTTTGGGGCATTTTAGGGGCATTTTTAGATTTTCGTCGAAATCCCCCTGTCGGGGGACACGCCCGACATAAGGCTAGTTTTGAGTCGGGCCTGCCCCTCTACAGGAGGAGTGTTCAAACATAGTCCAGAGAATAGTCGGGGGACGATGTTTGTAACCCTTTTCTTCTGGTAGTGTCTGGGCAGATCTGGGGTATGTTAGCATTTGTCGCCCAAAATCCCCCCCCCTGAGGGGACATGCCCGACCGAAGGCTGATTCATCATCTCGCTTCGCGCAGCTTTGGGGAGCGCCGTCAGCTTTTGAAATGTTGCGAGGTATGTGTTGGCCGACGCCTCGTCTCATCACTTCGGCACTCCGAAGGCGGCGCGTGTGTGTGTGTGTGTGTGTGTGTGTGTGTGTGTGTTTGTGTGTGTGTGTCTGTGTGTGTGTGCGTGTGTGAGTGTGTGGCGGTGCGTAGCCCGCCTAACTTTCAGCGGAAGAGGTTCGCTCTCGCCCCGCAGATCAAAAAAATGTGTGTGTGTGTTTGTGTGTGGAGATTGCATTTCGTGAACTGTATGCTGCAATCGTACGCTTCTTCGCTAGACGTTTCCCCGTGGATACGTGTTCGCACATTCGGAAACTTACGCACACCACGGCCACTGCCAACTATACAGTCCCGTCCTTGACATGTTCATTGCTCACTGCTCTGTGCTCCATGTTGTCCTCCATTTCCTGAACCTCGTCATCATCCTCACCCCACTCCTCCTCCCCTCACCTTTGCACCCTGAATACCTCACTTCCCTCATGTATAAGACCTGGCAGAGGAGGGAGATGACGGGGAGGAGGAGGATGGACAACACGCGGTATGGGGGATGGGGAAGGAGAGGTGGGGCATGAGGGAGCAAGGGCATCGGTACTCGGAAGAGCGCCGGCCCGCAGCGTCGGCGACGGCGAGGAGAGGAGGGGAGGAGAACACGATGAACGAGGTGGAATTGCGGCAGCAGGAGGACGTGTATGGGGAAATCTCCTCCTCCTCCTCCTCCTCCTCCTCGTCTCCTCCTCCTCCTCCTCCTCCTCCTCATCCTCCTCCTCCTCCTCCTCCTCCTCCCCCTCCTCCTGGTTAGGTTCTGGTTGAGGCGCACCCAAGTGGGGCGCGTTGGTGCCGAAGCCCCGGGCAAAGGGCAGGCATGAGCAGTCCCGAGTAGGGCGCTGGCAGTGGGGCAAGTGCCCGGCGCGCGTGCCCGCTCCCAGGGGGGCCGGGTGTCGCTTCATGCGAGACAGTTGTAGGGGCCCCCTGGGAGCCGCGCCTGCCACGCCACCAAATGGCGGAGCGCCAGTGCGCGAGCGCGAGTGCGCGTGCTGCCAACTGGCGGCGACGAAACAGGGAACCTCGTCGTCCTCCACCACCCCGCCACAGCTCCACCACCACCAGCCAGGCGAGGGCGGCGGGACGGGGCGCCCCGGGGGGGGGGCAGCCGGGAGGGCGACAGGACGACGGCGACGACAGGAGACGACGAGGGCGACGCCGACGAGAAGCAACGGCGACGACGACGACGACGGCGAGGGCGACGAAGACGAAGGCGACGGCGACGAAGACGACAACGACGGCGACAGCGGCGGCGAACGCAGCGACGACGACGACAGCCAAGGGACACGCAACGCCCATTTCCAGAAGCGAAAAAAGGAAGCGAGTGCCCGGGGCGCGCGCGGCTAGCCCCGGGGCCGGCGGCCGCGCTCTGCGCTCCGGGAGCGGCAGGAGGAGCTTAGGCGGGGGCGGCGGCGGCGGCGGGAGGCAGCGGCCGGGGGCGCCCCAGCAGCCTCAGGGCGACGACGACGACAACGACGACGACGACGACGACGACAGCGACAGCGACGACGACGACGACGACGACGAAGACGACGACGACGACGACGACGACGACGACGACGACGACGACGACGACGACGACGACGGCGACGACGACGACGACGACGACGACGACGACAGCAAAGGCGGAGACGGCGGCGGCGGCGGCGGCGGCAGCAGCGGCGGCGGCGGCGACGGCGGCGGCGGCGGCGGAGGCGGCGAAGGCGGCGGCGGCGGCGGCGGCGGCGGCGGGAGGCCCCGGCCGGGGTGGCAGCAGCAGCAGCCGTCGGAGGGGCAGCGGCGGCCAGGCCCGTGGCGGCAGCAGGAGCGTGGAGGGCCAGCGCGGGCGGCGCGCCCAGAGCGCTGGGCGGGGGCGGAGGCGCCGCGGCGGCGTGGGGCCGGGGCTGGTGCCCAACCCAGGGGACGGTCCACGCAAACACTGCTTCGAGGAGCCGCTCTCGGACCTCCGTGTTGCCGGCGATGGTCAATTTGGCTTGCCGGAGCCAAAAATTGATCACCCCACCGCCGCCGAGCGGACGGAGCGCCAAGCCGATCCGGGCCCCGTTGGTGCCAAAGAGCCAGAATGCCTGGCGGGAGTCGGTGTAGAGCCCGCAGGCGGCAGCCAACTGAAGGACCTTTTGCTCCGTGAG